CAAGCAAAGGAGGACAGAGACCACACCTAGAACTAATCCGCTCAGATGCCCGGCTTCCCAGATTTCAGGGTCGCGCAATGGCAAGACATCGCCCCGCTTCCCGTAATGCATGGGTCGCGCAATGGCACATACACATCAAGGCATAGTAAGACAACATGACATGCAAAAGTAAGCGTGCAATGTGTCAGAGCGGCAACAAGGCTCGCCGGCTACTTGAAATCCCAGAGGAAATCAGAGCGGGGGACGCCGACAAATTGCAGAGGCAAACTGCCCTGCATTCCTTACACGAGAGGCAGCTGAAATGAGACAGATAAAGCGCCCAGTAGTGAACCTCTCCAATAGGTTACGTTGGACAGGCCAAAGAACCTTTGGCTGAGTTCGCCTGACGATCAAATTGGTCATCCACGCCGCATCCAGAACACGGTGTCCTCGCGGCATACAAGAGACGGAGAAGGCGTTGGCGTCGAAGGGCAGCTGTCGCTTATTGGTCTCAGCGCTGCAACATGGCAGAAAAAGGGCCTTCAAACTCGATATCAGTGCCAGAGAGCTGCAATTGACGACGAGGTCACTATCAATCTACCGCAACGCACTAGTCCGTAAGCGACCGCAAAGCCGAATGGCCCGGGTATTGCTCCACCGTTGAGCCAAGCGCAGTAAAAATACCTTCAAATAGGTTCAGTCCACCTGCGCGGCGCTCCGGACCGATATACCTTTCCAAAACTGAGCGGCAGGGGGCCTTCACCCCGTTCTCAGCTCGGTCTCGCGTTGTTCCTTAAGCGACCGCAAAGCCGAATGGCCCGGGTATCAAGCCTGGGCTCCACGCAGACATGGATCCATGATGATCCATGCAACGGCAGCCTCTGGGCTAGCAACCAATAGCATGGCCCGCGGCTTGCAAGTCGCAACAGACCGCCTGGACGATGCTTGGGGCTTGCTGTCTGGTGCCGCCGAGGCGGCTCTGATATATAGCAATCGAAGCACTTTTGGTCCTCTATGGCTTTCCCCTCCTGTACGTCGAAAGTCAACTCAATATTATCCCGCTTTCCCCCACTGAACTGACCCCCACTGAAACTCACTTTCAGTAGGGGCATGTGTTAACAACATGCTAATAACACGTCATAACACGTTAACAACACGTTGACAACAACCCCCTCTCCAATGGAAGGCAGTCACGCAGAAGTGTGCGGAAGCTGCCCCACAAGCTCCCGGCAAGCTTTAGCAAAAGCGCACGAATGTGGCCCAGCAGGCTCCCACGCAAGCGTTTTGAAGTTCGTGCTAAAAACCCGAACTTCGTCATAACGCGTTATTAACTCGTCATAACACCAATGGAAGGCAGTCACGCAGAAGTGTGCGGAAGCTGCCCCACAAGCTCCCGGCAAGCTCCACCACGCAAAAAAACCAGCGAGCGACGGTTTTGCGAAAGCGCACGAAAGCGGCCCCGCAGGCTCCCCGCAAGCGTTTTGAAGTTCACGATAAAAACTTGAACTTCACATTCCCCTGTAGAGGGTCTCCCCAAATCAAATTGTAGGTTAGAACAACGAGTTCTAACTTCTGGGTCCGAATTGGAAGTTACGACAACGAGCCGAAACTTCTGGGTACTTCTCCAAACATGCTGGATCACTAAAGAAAAGAGGCTGTATCCCAGACCGAGGCGCCAGCAAAAATGTCCATCCATCAGGTCTACGCGCTGGTGGAAGCCCAGACCTGGAAGCGGGCCATGGACATCCTAGCGGAAACCTATACGATGCCATGGACGGAAGCTCCCAGCCAGAAGTGCGCGCAGCAAGGACTTATCTTGGCTTTTTAATCAACCGCTTCTCGGTCGAAGGCGGTCGGATGGCGGACAAAAGACGTGACCTCGCGCTGGAAGAGCTGGAGAAGATCGAAGCTGAACTCAAAAGCTGATCGCACTCAGCGCCTATTTTTGTGTCCACCCTCTGTGCACAGGGTCGCAAGGATTCCTACATCAGGAAGCATCGCTCGACTGGCTGCTCAGTAGTGGAAAGGGGTGCTGCCACAAGCTCATCAGCAGCAGCAGCCACAGGCTCATCAGCAGCAGCAGCCGCAGGATCATCAGCAGCAGCCACAAGCTCATCAGCAGCTGCAGCAACCACAGGCGCCTCATCAGCAGCAGCAGCGCCGGAAGAGGCTGCGGCAGGCGCTTCAGGCTCGCTGCTCGTCTCCTCGTCGCTGTTCACCTCCAGAGGAATGCCAGCGCTCAGCAGGGACCGCCGCCGAAGCTCCTCGTCGTGGCAAATCCTGTAGCCGAAGAAGTGACGGAGGTTGCACTTTTCCTCCATGCACCATTGGGGCCTGAAGGTACCCTTCGGCTTCCGCGGTCGCTTCCCAGCCTCGCAGCGCTTGCAAAGGCTGTCCTTCTTCTTCACACAGCAGCCGCACTTCTGGCAGCGAGGACCGCGCCCGTGGAAGGCACACTTGCCACCTGACTGGGCCTTCTTGCCGCAAGGCCCGATGGGCGTGGGCGCACAGCAAAAGGTTTTCTTGCCCATGGCCAGCGCGATGCTAGCAGCTATGGAGCAGGTCAGCTATTTCCTTAGAGCCAGATCTCGATCGAAAGGAAAAAATGCACACTGCAAGAACCAGCACTCAAAGCAAAAACAAGCTTTTTCCATGCGCCTCGCCTGTCCGCTTCATCCAGTGCGCTTAGGCACGGTGGATGTTCGATTGCGGGCGCCTCTAGCCTTAGCTTTGCCCTTGGCTTTGGCCTTATCTTTGCCCTTTGCTTCGGCAGCAAACCACGCCCGCTCGCCTTCCAGCTGTTCCACCAGCAGCTCTTAATCCCGGAAGCGCTGTACTTCCGCCTCCCGGGCTGCCCACTTGTCGAAGATGTCCACGCATCCAGCGCACAGCGGCGTCACGCTCCCACCAACTCCCTCGAAAGGCTCCTGGGGCAGCTGACGTCCCGCGACGGCCACCCCCTGGCCGCAGCGGCACAGTGGTCCCTCGTCCTCCAACGGCGGCTATTCAGCAGCAGGCTCCTTCAAGCCCGCCAGGCGATGGAAGAGAGCGTTCAGAAGGGACATCATGGTTCGTTCGACTACCTTGAAAAAAGCTGTCCACGTTTAAAAAACGTCTCCGCTCATGGCCGAAGCACGACGACAGATCATCAAAGAGGTCTACGAAACCCTAGGACTGGCTTCGGCAACATTGCAGATACTTGGCAGCAGGCCCGCAGGCTCGACCCTGAGATCACCAGAGACGAGGTCAAAGCCTTTTTGGACACGCTGCGCATCAGGGAAGATCGCCCTCAGAGAGGCTACAACTACAACTCTTTCGTACCTCCCGAACCCATGCATCAGGTCCAAGCGGACTTGGCCGACATGTCGGTCATAGCCGGCAAGGGCCAGGCGCCCAGGTACATGCTCGTGGCCATCGACTCCTTCACCAAGAAGACGGCGGCCGTGCCCGTGAAGTCCAAAGACGCCCCCGCCGTGGCCAGGGCCTGGGACGAGGTCCTGCAAAAGCTGGGCGGCCAACGTCTATGTGGATGAGGGAACCGAGTTCAAAGGTGCCTTGAGCAGAAGCTGGATTTCTACGACATCGACAAGCAGATCACCAGAGGCCACGCCTACTTCGCGGAGCGCGTCATTCGAACCCTGAAGGAAGGCGTCCTGAGGCGTCTCTCCGCAGGCCTGGGCAGGGCAGGGGTGCATATATACCAAACGGGGAACTTGCCGGAGGTTGAGAAATGATTGCGATGGGAGCCGAAGTTGCGAACTCATTGCACTGGGAGCCGAAGGTTGCGAACTCGTTGCACCGCTAGCATGCTATTAACACGTCACAACGCGCTATCAACACGTCACGGCACGTTATCAACAAGACACAACGCGCCAAAAAATCCTTCAAAAAGCTCCCAACGGCCCCCCGCAGCTTGACCAATTTCGCAGCATCCGACGACGGCAGCAGTTGGCCAGCAAGCACGAAAGCGGCCCCGCAGGCTCCCCGCAAGCGTTTTCGAAGTTCAAGCTAAAAACTCGAACTTCAAATTCCCCAGTCGAGGGTCTGCCCCAACCTCTGGGTCCGAATCCCCGCCAGCGTTGGCAAACCTGCAGGATCACTAGAGAAAAGAGGCTGTATCCCAGACCGAGGCGCCGGCAAAATGTCCATCCAGCAGGTCTACGCGGTGGTGGAAGCCCAGACCTGGAAGCGGGCCCTGGGCATCCTAGAGGAAACCTACGATACCATGGGCCGAAGCTCCCAGCCGGAAGTGCGCGCTGCAAGGACTCTTATCGGCTGTTTAATCAGTCGCTTCAGGGTCGAAGGTGCTCGGATGGTGGACGAAAGAAGAGGCCTCGCGCTGGAAGAGCTGGAGAAGATCAGACCTCTCACATATCGGTTCTACCCTCTAGCTCAGCTAATAGTCCTTCAGAAGAAGACGTAGATCTGGCGAAGTCGCTCTGCCTGATTGTCTGGAAGGACGACCAGTTGGCTCGTAAAGACTTTCGCCCTTGTCGGCTAGCACGCAGCGGCCGTCTCAAACTCCCCATTGCGAACGTGCCTGTACAGTCTCTCGTCGCTGATAGCTTGAGTCCATCGCTCCGCTCCGAAAGCAGTTCCACCACTGCTACTGCTGCTGTTGCACCTACTACTGCTACTACTACTATTACTACTACTACTACTGTAACTACCATTGCGACGAGTGCTACCATGCTACTACTACCACTACTACTACCACTCTACTACTGCTTCTATTACTACTGCTTTATGGGCGCCGGTGAACCCTGCGCCGCCTCCGGCTGTGAGAACATGGCATGTGACTCAGCTTATTCTGCAGAATCGGAGCGCTACATGAACTCCACTTTTTAGGTCATGGCTTGGATGCTGGAGCTCCTCCCAGCGCTTGTAGCGGGCATGCAAGGGCCAGGAGCGCATCTTCTTGTCAAAGCTGCAGCTGGGAGACTTCCGGCCCCCTTCCATCTTGTACAGGATGAGCAGTGGCGCTTTATGCTCAATGATTGGGGCGAGGTACATACACAGCATGATGTCAGCGAGTTCATACTTCATCTTACCAATACCACCTACATGCCTATGCTGGCAGGCTCATGGCAGGCGAGATTGCCTTCTGTGGCGTCAGGGGATCGTCCATTGGATGCGGGGACTTGTGCTCAGCCGATCATATTGCATTTACCTCAACCCTCACGGACGGGAGTTTGTGCAAGGATACAGACACTGATGGATGAATGGCATCGATGTGTGGATCGTTTTCAGGGGCTCACGGTGGCTCCTCCAGTACTCATGCTGCAGCTCCGCTTCTTTCGTCGGCGGGGCCGCATTGCAAGAATCACTTGAAGGTTCAGCTGGACCCAATGATTCGCGTGCCCATCTTCACAGGGGGAAGGCAAGCTGTTCAGGTAGAGATGCAAACCTATCAGCTACATGCATTCATCGACCATCATGGGGCGCTCCCTACTTCTGGTCATGAAACCGCGATTTTATGGCAGGATGGCTACTGGCTCTGCAATGATGATCGGCAAGCAGATGGGACTCAACGCTTCAGCCGGGCCAGTGCAAATCGTGCTATGTACTTTTTTATGTCAATAGGAATCTTCAAACTGCTTTCAATGCTCAGTATGACTAGCTTGGGGCTGATGACGATTGACACGATCGAACCACTTTTGATGTATGGGCAACACACATGCTTGTAAGGCTCTTCGGAGCGGTGTGTGAAGTTGCTTGGCTTTGCTCAGGGGCGGTCAAATGACCGCGAGTGTACAACACTCCGGGTGTTGATAACTTCTGCTCGATCCCAGCGCTTGGCGAAGGATTTCCTAGCTGCGAGGAAAGCTGAAAGCTATTACTACTACTACTACTACTACTACTACTACTACTACTACTACTACTATTACTACTACTATTACTAGTATTACTACTACTACTCACTACTGCTACTACTACTACTACTACTACTACTACATCAAAAGCGTCTCAAGGTGTCCTGGGACATGAAAAAGCAACTCTGCGTTGAATTGCTGCACACTGCCACGAACCAAGAAAACTATGAGCACTGCACCCCTGCCTCACCTTAGTGAGATACCTGCCAGGTTCAATGCGTGGAAGACTTGTTTGCGGATAGGAACTTTATGCGACAGGCCAGGTTTCTCCTCGGCTCTTCCCATGGCAATACGACTCAGTTTGGCCCCCTACCTGTTCAGGCGGCCCGTGAACTGGGTGTTTTTATCTCGGGCCCGCTTCACGTTTCTCTGCCACGCAGGCAGGGTCTTGGATTTTGGCTCAGGTGGGCCCTAACAGCTTGCAGGGTTATTGCTCTCTCTTCAAGAGTGGTTGGATAATTGCTGTTTGTGAAAGTGTGGTTTTTCGGTGTTGATTGCACATCATCTATTTTGGCTGTTGGTTTTAGAGTTCTGGGTTAAGACTCCGAGGCAAGTCAATTTGTGGGGATTCTTGGGCCAAAAGCAGATCCACCAGAAAGCAGGGCGAGGTGCCAGCAACACGTTGCTTTTTGTCAGCTCTGGGGTGTGGGTCTGCAGCGCAGGTCAAGGTCCCGCAAACAATCAGCTAGGCCGGGATGTGCATGCGAAGCAGAAACTGATTGCCCAAGCTGGACCTCAGGTCGACCAAGACGACATTCACAGCTTGGTACAATGTAGACGAGGTTAGCTTTTCCCAGGCCCGCATTGCTTTCAATTTGACAAGGTCAGAACCTGGAACATTTTGATAGTGTCTGTTTATGTCAGGACAGCATTGGAGAGCGCTTCAAAGACAGACGGCCCATCCTGGAGACTCTGAATGCCTGAAAGACAACAAGGACACCTGGTTGTAGCAGAAAAATTCTGAAGCCGGCTTCTGTAAAACTCTTTGGCAGACCTGTTCCACACACCTGTGGAGGTCAGTCCAGAATCGGACGAGTGGCTGGTGTTGGACGCAATGAAGGTCAGAGACCAGATCATCAGTCGGCTCCTGACCAGGTATGTGTTGCAGAAACGAAGTGTTGCCAGACCTTCCCAGGCCGCAACAATCGACGGCTTTGGTGCCTGAAGGAGTATCAAAAATACAGGAGGCTGAAAGACCCTCACCACAACGTACGAGTCAAACTGAAGGCCGTTTTGATGACAGTGCCGTCTCTTACACAAGCTGTCATTGGCACAGGTCACGGAATCCCGGGACTCGATGCTGGTGGACTTCATTTCCTTTCAAACCGTTCAAATGCGCCATCGACTGAGAGTTTTCTGTGGAACTAAAGCCTGTCGATCACAGAGGTGGTCATCGCCTGCGTCGTTTAAGTTGCGTGTTTCGACGGCTCTTGCGTTCTGAAGATGCTTGCTGCACAAAGGTGCTGCGGCTGACGATGCATCTGCGTGAGGGCAAAATGTGAGGCTGTTTGCCTAGAGGTGCAGGTGCGATTCAATGTTGGTTGCAGCCTTCGGATCTTGGATTCCCAGACCAACTCCTTCAAATGCAATACCTTTGGCTCCCTTGTTGGCTGCATTCTTTGATTGTAACTTTCTGCATATTGGGTCATGTCTGTGTGTGAACACATCACTTCTCTTCCTGAAGTCATTGCAGTAAACTCAAGGTTTGGACACGCGAATTTTGTCACCTCCACATTGCCAAGCCAACTGCTCAGTGTGGTGCGTTTGTCAAACCATGATCAAAGGAACGGGAGCTGTTCTAATCTTCTGTTTTTTCGATTTCTCTGTGAAGAGTGCTCAATATCGACTCAGGCCTGGCAATGTTGAGCCAACTTCATCCGCTGTACAATGGTCCACGCCTGAGTGTGCTGCAATTACATATATTTTCCTGTGTACCCGAGAGAGCTTACTCTTGACAACACAAACACTTTGCGTCCAACTACATCACTTCAATGTTGGTCACAGCCTTGGCATCTTGGATTCCCAGACCAACTCATTTTACCACAAAGCTTTCGGTTCCCTTGTTGGCTGCAGGTCCAGAAGTTCAACTACAGTTGCAGACTACCATGTGGGGTGGGAGCCACAGATTGCATATGTGAATTGAAAAGTGTCAGACCACAATTTGATGATTTCCGTATGGACATTCAGGCCCCAAATACCAGACTGCGTCGGGATCCTGGTCAGCACCAGTAGAATTGTTCAGCAGGCTAGCGTAGCATGGCTTAGCATAGCATAGCTCCATCCAATTGCCAGACGATTCTGTTTTGGAACCTGTCACATGACTCTTGGTCACACTTTTCAGTGAGTTACATCCGTAAATCTGCTTTTTTGCTGGTTCAATGGAGCCAGCACCTGCCCTTTTCTGGGCTTTTCAGCCTGGTTGGGCGTACGGCATGTCTGCCCATGGACACGACACAGCAACTTTTCCTCCTCGAGGGCACCTCCACACGCACACTACGCGCCTATGACACTCCCTACACCCTCTCCGTACAAAGAGGGTACACATACCATATCACGGGACAACCCACCAGCTCACCAGATTCACCTGACATGCGCATTCAGTGTGCGCACCCACACTTGCCTTTTCCTCCTTTCTCCCGCGCCATCACAATCACCGTTAAAGCAGACTACTACACTCTTCACTTCGCTTGGCACTACTCATGGGAGATCTATCACCTCAAAACCTACCTCGACACGATTTTTCAACGGTCGTCCTCCTCAACCACCCTGTACTGGCAGGACACGCGTCTCCTCGATGTCATGCGCCTGTACCCCTCACAATTACATACCCCATTGTACTACGTTGCCCATCTCGCTCGTGT